AATATTGAAAATCCTATTTATGTGCGTGATAAGCACAGCTAGTCTAGTTACAGTCAAAACTTGTCATTTCACAATCAAGACTTATCATTCTCAAATAAATTATTGTCATTTTTAATTAATGCGCATATTATTTCCTGTTATATATCAGGAAAAAAGATATTGTTAATATCAAGTTTAGACTTGTTATTTTCAAATAAATTATTGTCATTTTTAATTAATATGCATGTTTTTCCTGTTATGTATCAAGAAAAGTTACTTTGTTGATATCAAATTTAAACTTATTATTTCTCAATTAAAACTTGTCATTCCTAGATAAATTGTTGTCATGGGCTGGATAGTAAAAGGATCAACTTATATTTTTTTTTACATTATAAGGTTAACAAATCATTGGTGGCTCAATGGTCATCTTCTTTTTTGTTGACCCAAATGAATTTCAAAATTCCAATTTGGAAATAACTTTTCTCTCTGTCATTTCCAATCCTTAGCTTTCTAAATTGGAATATCCTAATTTCAGTTTTCTTTATTTGTCATTTTTCCTAAATGATAAGACAAATTTAAATTGGAGCTTATGAAGAAACCAATTTCCCCAAAGATTCTATGCTTATACTACTTCCAGTTCTTAATATAAAAGTAAGTTAGCTTGTTTGAGTAGATTAATAAGATTAATTTAATTAGTTATTTGTAATAAATATGTGTTGTCTTTTTTAATATACCTTACTAATCATGTGTATTATTTAGAACTATTATTCTATTTTAAGAGAAATGAATAAATATGAGAAACAAAATAAATTAGGTTCTTATATTTATGATCAAATTGAATGTCAAACTAGCACTTATATTACTTATGTTAGATTTGGTCTTTATATTAATCCATTTTTTTAAAGTAGTTTTTGAAGTAGTTGCATATGTTAAAATTTTTTGGTAATTTTAGCTAATATATATAATTAGTAAAGATATTTTAAGAAAAATAATATTTAATTAGGAAAAATTACACATAGGTCCTATAGAGGAGAATTAATTCAGATAAAGTCCTTGGAAATCCCCAAATTCTTCCTAAGTCCTCAGGGACTTGTGTGTAATAAATTGCAATTGTAAAAAGTCTGTTATGCCCTCATTGATTGAAAAAGAAAAAAAAGAGGGGAATGCCTTCTCCTGATACGTTGGGTGCTCTGTATGCATGAGAAGAAAAAGCTTAAAAAAGAAGGAACGGAGGTTTATAACAGATGCCATTGTGTCCATTATTCCAGGCAAGCTGTGTTTTTTTCCCATCTTCTTTGTAGGTGTCATCATTAAGAACATTATCTTCTTCGTCCACAGCCATTGACAATGTAATGTTGGTTTGAAAAGTTGATTTACTGTAGGTGTGTAGGTATTAAGAATGAAATGAACTCACTTGAACTATTAAGGGAAGCTCATTTTTATCATATGTGGTCTTAATCATCTTAGGTGTGGTTTTGTTATGTGTGGTTAGGGTTATAAGGTGATGCTTTGTTTTTCCGGTAATTGACGTTGTGTTGCAGAGGAAAATGAGAGGTTTTTATTGTTATAAGCCATGTGATGTGATTGTTAAATGTCTTGTTAATGGGTACATCAAAGTTTGTTAATATAACTGTATGACTTGTTATTAACAAGTGATTCTGACAGGTTGATATGAAAGATGGCAACTTCAAGTGGGAAGCATTTGTTCTGTTACCTCCATATAGGGGGACAATTTATTAATAGTGTAGAGGTGAAATGCAATACGTTAGAGGTTGTGTGAGAACAAGAATGATAAAGAAAAGCACACCAATCACTAAAAGACCTCTAGGAAGGCTAAAGAAAAGAAGAATTGAATCTCAATTTCAAAATAAAAAAACTTTACCACTGTGGAAGATGTCATATGCCAGGCCACACTATAAAGACTTTTCAGAACTTCAATCCAAGTTGAGATTTGTTGGTGGCTTGTTTATATTTCTTTTTGTGAATGCTTGTGACATAATTGTTTTGTAAATATCATAACCCACATCTCAAGTTGTCTATCATTATCCACACATGTAACTTGTGTGCTTTTTTAAATGGGTTGTAAATTTGATGTGGTTATATTGTACAGATATATCAAGTGGTAAATGACATCTGGTTGTAATGTAATATAATATCATATCTGTATTTTGATGTACTTGTCAATAGGCTGTAATGAACTTGTTATTAGGCATTGTGGAGGTTGTCATTAGTAGTCTGAATTATGTTACTGATATAAAGTGACAATTTCTCCTACTTGCAATGTTCAATGATTTCTTAACACATGATTTTTGAGTTAAAGTTGTAACATAATATCATTTGGTTATAATTTGATGCTATGTTGAGGCTGTGATATCCCACAGCGTGAGTTGTCAAGGACACTGTCGAGGTTATTAACTACTTCTCCTTATGTTGTCAACAGCCGCTATTAAGGTTGTAAATGAATCTCTACAATAAAAATTTGTTGTAATCCTATTGGGTTCAGTTACAGTTGTTAATGACTTCAAAATGCCTCACATTATATTGTTAAGGTCGTAATGTGTGCTGATAATACAATTTTTTAGAAGCTGTGATATCCGATAGAGTGAGTTGTTAGGGGCACTGCTAAAGTTGTTAACCACTTCTCCCCAGGTTGTAAACAATCGCCGTTGAGGTTGTAAATGAATATCTGCAATAAAAATATACTGTAATCTTGCTGGGTTTACTTAAAGCTGTTAATGACTTCAAAACGCCTCCCATTATATTGTTAAGTTCATCATATGTGCTGATAATATAATTTTTTAAGAAGCCGTGGCATCCCATATAGTGAATTGTCAGGGACATTGCTAAGGTTGTTAAGCACTTCCCTTCAGGTTGTCAATAAATGCCGTTGAGGTTGTTAATGGATCTGGCAGAGAGAACTGTGATATATACCTATCATGTCATCATGATTAGCATTTGTTTATCCACTTTTATTAAGTCTTCATTTCTAGACATTGTTCGGGTTTTGAATAAGGAATTTTGTGGTTATCAAAACACATGAATGCCATTACAACAACTTCATAACTAGGAAATGATGCCAATCATATTAACATAACTTAACATTCAGCTATCATTATATGGTCAAATAAAAAAACAAAATCTGAACTTTACTTTCAGCTGTCATTATGCTGTCAAATGAAAAAACAAAATTTGATGTTTACATTCAGCTGTCATTATACTGTCAAATGAAAAAACTAAATACAATATATGTTGGTTTTTTATTTCTTCCTCTTGCTTTGGGAGTTTTCTCATACCAAAGACAGTACTTGATCACTATGCAGGTTGTTCCTATGAATTATGATCCACTACAAGCATCCAATCTTCAAGTCATGTGACTTCCTTGTCAATTTTGTTGTTTTTGTCAAATAATGCTAGCTTCACTCTACAAAGAACTTGGTAGAAATAATCTCTCTGCAAAAAGGAAACAAAAAAAAGAACAACTTTGATGGTAGTGAATGACAAGTAATCAGCAGGTATTAACAACCTTGACAATAGTGAATGACAAGTAATCAGCAGGCATTAATTGACAGTTTATCAAAACCAATTCTTTTCAGCGTTTTCATCATATCATATGTGTTAAGAAATCACTGACCACTGCAAGTAGGAGAAATTGTCACTTTATATTAGTAACATAATTTAGACTGCTAATGACAACTTCCACAGCGTCTGATAACAAGTCTATTACAGCTTATTAACAAGTACATCAAAATACGGATATGATATTATATCAAATTAAATTACAACCAGATGTCATTTACCACTTGATATATATGTACAATGAAATTACACTAAATTTACATTTTATCTATAAGGTCCACAAATGTAAACTCATCAAAGGTTACTGTGAATTTGATAACCCTTCCATTGCTTTCTTTTCCCATAATTGATGCTACCATTGTTCTAAATTCTTTATATGATGTGCCTTTCTTTATCATTTTTGTTCTCACACCACCTCCAACGTACTGCATGTCACCTTTTACACCATCAATAAATTGTTCTCCTATATGGAGGTAACAAAACAAAGGCTTCCCACTTGAAGTTTCCATCCTTCATATCAACCTGTCACAATTACTCATTAATAATAAGTCATACAGTTACATTAACAACCTTCGATGTACCCATTAACAAGACATTTAACCATCGCATTACAGGGAGTTATAACAGTAAAAATATGTCATTTTCATTCTTTTTCATCAGCAACACAGCATCAATCACTAAAAAACAGAGCATCATTCACCCAAAAACAGAGCATTGTTTTATAACCCTAGCCACACATAACAAAACCACACCTAAGATGATTAAAACCATATATGACTAAAATGAGCTTTCCTTGATAGTTCAAGTGAGTTAAATCACATCCTTAATATCCATACACCCACAGCCAATCATCTTTTCAAACCAACATTAAACTTGAGATTGGTTGTGTACGAAAGAAAAGAAATCTCGTTATTGATGAGACCTACAAAGAGGATGAAGAAAAAATATAGCTTTCCTGGAATAATGGAGCATCAACGCAGACCTCCATTCCTTCTTTCAGAAGCTCCTCTTCTTCATACATGCAGCACCAGTGCACAAACTAAAGCTTTCTCTCTGTTTTTTCTTTTTTAATCAATAAGGGCATAACAGACTTTTTACAATTGCAATTTATTACCCATAGGTCCCTAGGGATTTAGGAAGAATTTGGAGATTTCCAGAGACTTTATCTAAATTAATTCTCTTTTGTGGGACCTGTGTGTAATTTTCCTATTTAATTATTACATTAACTAACTAACAATACTTAATTATTACAATAACTAAATAAAATTTAAATTAGTCAACCAATACAACTGATGTAGGATTAATTACTGGAGGTAGCATTTTGAATCGGACCAAGTGAAAATAACACTGGTCCCCAGTATTTAAGTACAGAGATTGAGCATCAGCTTTCTTCACTCTGTTCGAATTTGGAAGATAAATGGAGGCTCTCTTAGAAAATTGAGCTTACACGTAGATCTGCCATTGCTTCTCTGACCCTGCCATGCTGTTGCGGCTTCGCATTCCAGCCTTTTGGTGGTCTCTATGTTCTCTTTCGAACGCCCGTCGGTATCCTCACCCTTCCTCCTCCTTCCAACTCAGCCTTTCTTCTTCAAGCCATCCTCAGGTTCAGAACACATCTCCATTTCTCTCTTCTACCGTTATTTTCACTGAACCTTCAAGTTTCCCAATGTGGACCTTCTTTTCTTTTGCTTCTTTTGTGATAGGTTTCTGGCATATTGGACGGTGATTGCGATGGTTTCTTGCCATGGTTGGAGCGGAAAGCTGTCTCTAAGATTTCATCAGCACTTTCAATTGGGAAAGCTCCATGTGGCAGGTTCTCCAGTTTCTTTTTTTTCTCGTCTTTTTTTTTTTTTGGGGAATGATTTGATTTCATTGTGTTAGGATGGTTTTTAAATGTGGAATTTAAATTGCTTCATTGTTTTTGACTGTCGGGGACTAATTTTGTGAGAAGAAAGAATTCTGTATGCTAGTTTCTGGCTGGCTGTCATTGTTTATTGAACTTTCATCTTCTTGCCAGATAATGTAAGCCGACGTGAGTTCCTACTGTCTTGGGTTTAGTTTTTTTGATGGTAGGAGTCTTTGCACCGTGGAACAGAAATGAATCTTTACAATGTAAATATATATTAGTTTCAAGGCATATTTTGTAAACTAAGAACTGAATTAGTATTTGTCTTTGTCAAAGAAGTTATATCCCGTAACTGGCTCCAGTTCTAATATTTTATTCTTTTGCAATAAATGTCTTGGCTATGAATGTGTATTGTAAATGTTTAGATATATCAGATACTGCCCTTACAGAAACTAGATGTACCGCCACTTGCTATATATTTTATTTTGATGTATTAATTTTTAGATGCTTTAAACTGTAATTACATTGGTCTTCTTTGTCTCTGAAGATGACACTGTCATGGCACATTTTACAGAAAACTAAAAAAGATGTAATGTCCCATTTCGCTTTAAAACCATCCCTTCTTACAGAATACACTTCTACCATCCCTTTCTTACATAATACTACACTTCTAATGTAAATGTGTATATTATTGTAGCAAAAGAAAGGTTATTAAAAGTAGAATTTGCAAAAACTAACATTTTGATTAAGTGATTTAATTTAATTTAGATATTTTCAATACCTTAGAGTTAAATTTAATTGTTAAATGAGGTTTTGGCCAAAAAAAAAAAAGAAGTTAAACAGGGTTAGATTAACTCAAGGCGTTTCATATCTGGCAAAAATAAAAAAGGGCATCCCATCAATCAAAATTCCAAGTTTATAAAATTCAAGTTTCAATGCGGTGCGTGTGGCTGTTTTATCATAGGGATGCTATAGCTCATCAGTGCATGCAGCCTTGTACTTATATGGTGTGTGTATAGGCTATTATGGATTCAATTAATAAAATAATTGCCTAAAAAGAACGATTGTGGTAAATGCTTTTATACATTGGTGTCTCAAATGTTACCTCTTCCTATATCATCTCTTAATCTGTGCTATGCATCATGCTCTCTTTTTGCTTCTAGAATAATACACACTCAAGACTTTCTAAAACGTTTCTGTACATTGGAATATCATATGTTATCTCCTTATTTCAGGCCTTAGATGAGGTCTGTCTCTCAAATGTTGACTTCTTATGTAACCTTGAAATTTACGTGGATGTAGGGCTCTGTTTGCCTCTAGGATTATACACACTGGGGAATGCATTTTGCAGGTTCCTTATGCTGTGGTATGCTTCACTTATTAAATCTTACTAAAATTCATGCCTTTTATTTCACTGTTATCATGATAAATTGCTCATCATCGTGTTCCTAATTGATTTTGCAGCAAATGACTGTGGACAATTTACTCCCAGAAATCAGATCTTTGATCAGCACTGAAGTTGGATGTATTTCAAAACTTGCTGTTGTTATTCTAGTTGAGCAGAAACTGGGTCGGGTAACCTTAATATCAAATTTGTATGATAAAAATTTATCTCAATTCAGGAACTTTGCTCTTGCATATTTCAAAAGACAATATTTTTGACCTCACTATGTTTGGTAGAAAAATGAGGAATTTCGCAGCGTCTGTATGTAATATCTATTTCTGTGTGATAGGACTCCGAGTGGGACCCTTATATTAGCTGTCTTCCTCAGCAAGGACAGCTGCATAATACAGTAAGTGTTCTTACTTTTCTTTAGTTGCTCTATCTTTTTGTGTCTGTTCTTTGTTTTGGTATTTGTAGCAGAGTTCCTTTATCGTTGAAGCATCTTTATTGTGCTAAACTGCAAGGCATCATGCTAAGAATGTTGCACTTTTTCTTGGTGAGTTAATTTGCTCTTCTTGCCTACTCACAGAGTGACTGCCTCTTTTCTTAGTCTTTCTCATAATTGATACATAGGAGTTAGGGGATAGTTAAGGAGTTGCTAGAAATTTAGGGGTGATTAGGAGAATTGTGGGGAAGAAGGGTAGTTTAGGAATTTAGCATAATATAAATAGGGTCTGAAGATATGCAACGTGTTTTGGTTATTTCTCTCTCTGTTCTACATTACCACATAACAATATCAGAGCTTTCTTTCGGTTGCCTTTGTCTGTCACTAGAAATGTGATCCATATGGGAGTAATGAACATGGCAAGTAATCGCCGTATGAGATTGTCTGAACAAATTTGAAGCTCTTCTACCAGAATGAAAGCTGAGTCTACTGTGATTAGAGTCTTACCAGAAAGAAAGCTGAGTCTACTGTGATTAGAATCTTCATTAGAGGACGTTGATCAGACACCCAACAAATCACTAAGGGAACCAATCCAAGCACCCTTGTCAGTGTGATGTATCCTTCCAATCTTTAAGACAGATATGGGCAGAAGAGGAAGCTGGAAGGAGAAGGTTAGGAAAAAGGATGCAGTGGAATTGAGGAGGAATCCAAGATGCAATGGACCAGAAGTAGGGGACCATGTGAATATCTGGCACTACTGGACCTATCTCTCTGTTTATTTTTTGGAGTACAATGGCAAGATTAAATCTCCAACAGTTACAAAACGCCCAAGAGACTAACTAGTCTGCATCAAATCCTCCTGCAATTGGGCTTGGCACTACCAGGGAGGATGCTCCAAGATAACCATGTCTTCATGTATGAAGTAAGCCTGCTTAGCAATAAGATCTGCGCAATGTATGGCATTCCGTGTCGACTGGACCTATCTCTTAATTCCTATGTATCAATAATTTTGTGATGAAATCTAAAAAGACTGGAAAAATAGCATGAGATAGTGAGTAGAGGGAGGAGAGAAACATTACAGGGAGGGAATATGTTGAACACGGGCCGAAATTGAAGTATGTTAGACAGAGGAAGAAGCCCAATTCGGATGACTAGTGTTTCTTATGTGTCAAGGGTAATTTTGGGTATTCCTACGAGTTAGTTATGGAAAGGGGTGAGTATATTGTGTGGGAAGGCTAGGCGGGGAGGGCATGGGAAAAACTGAGTGAGGTTTAGGAGGGTCCGTGTGACTCTAGGTGGGTGCCGTGAGCATTTCTGTTTCGTTCTTCTGCTGTAATTCCTCCATTGGAGCTTATCCGTGGAGCTTTAGCTATCGAATAATACATTCAGAGTATTGAAGTTTCATTAAAGGTATTAGAGTAGTACCTTCTTGGGGAATGGTAAATACCCGTATGGAGTCCCGCATGGATGCTGTCGATTCTCGAGTCCTGCAAGCTGAACATTCCATAGAGCGTTTGAGCGGGGATGTGTTGACAATTAAATCCGATTTAACCACGGTCAAGTGCGACGTCGCCACCGTCACTTCCTTGTTGAATGAATTGCTGGGTGAATGGCGTGCGGGCAAGCGTGGTGACACTGGGGGTGACTCAGCAAATCATACAAATGGTACACCTCAGGTGATTGAGATCGAGGACCGTGGAGCGAGTGTAGTTACCGATAGCTCACACTACAGGAGGCTTGATATGCCTCTGTTTTCGGGAGACGACCCCCTTGGTTGGGTTTTCAAAGTGGAATGTTATTTCAAGTTCAATCGGGTGGCTGAATCTGAGAAATTAGATGCTGCGGTTTTGTGTTTTGAAGGACGTGCACTTAATTGGTTTCAATGGAAGGAGGTCAGAGCCCCTGTTTCGACTTGGCTAGAGCTGAAACGTGACTTAGTACTCCGGTTTCACCCATCGCAATGCGGTAACTCATATGAGATGTTGATGGCTTTGCAACAAGACAAGCATGTTGCAGATTATATTGAACGTTTCGAATCAATTTCTACTACGCTGGGAAATTGTGATGAAGAAGTCCTTATCGTGGCATTCTTGAATGGCTTGAAGACGGAGATTAAGGCAGACTTGCGATTGCTGAAATTGGGCTCTTTAGCTGCGTATATGGATATGGCTCTACGATTGGAAGAATGTAACGGTGTGATGGCCCAATATTATAGCCCACGATCATCCGGGCCGCCTAGGCACTGGATCGAAGATAGGTTTCAGGGGCCGAGAGCTTCGTCCACACGATTGAGTCATTAAACCACTTCCAGCAATTCCACTACATCCTCTATGCTCAGTACGGCCCGAGTTGCAGAAAACAAATCAGCTGACGACAGTAAGAAGACAATGATTCCCGTTACTTACACTTCCAAAGCAGTTCCGAAGAAGTATACTGATGCGGAAATTGAGCGGCGAAGGGAATTAGGATTGTGTTTCAAATGTGATGAGAAGTATCGTCCAGGTCATCGCTGTAAAAAGAAACAATTGCAAGTACTAATTATGTCAGAGGAACCGACTGAGGAGGACGAATCTCCTTTCGAACCAGCTCACCGGGAGCAGCTTGACCCAGACCTTTTTTTTGAGACCGAAAAGCACACTGGGCAACTTATGTCTTTGTCTCTGAATGCTCTGGCAGGCTTCATAGGTGGTAAAACGATTAAGCTAATGGGGACTCTCCATGGCAGGGACGTATTGATCCTCATTGACTGTGGCGCTACTCACAGTTTCATTCATCACGACTTGGTTCTTGCCCTCTCTTTACCGGCGGATTCCCATTTTGCTTTTACTGTTCAAGTGGGGGACTCCCGCAATGTGAGGGGCCGTGGGGTATGTCGAGATGTTTCCTTCTTTGTGCAAGGGCTCCACCTTACGCATTCCTTGTACCCCTTTAAGCTGGGAGGGTCGGATATCATTCTTGGAGCTGACTGGTTAGCATCGCTTGGAGAGGTGTTGGTTAGCTGGAAGCATTCTACCCTCAAAATTGATCTGGGTGATGAATGGATTTGTCTCAAGGGCAATCCGACTTTGCATAAGACTCAAATGTCTTTCAATTCTTTTTATAGGACTACACAACCCGAGGATGAGGTGTTCTTTGTGGAATTTACTGAACTAAAGATGACAGAGCTTACGTATACTTCAATGGACAGAGAGGTTCAGACCTTAGTAGCGGAGTTCCTTGAAGTTCAAACACCTCTATCGAGGTTACCACCGCCTAGACCTGCTGATCATACTATTGATTTACAGCCAGGCTCCACCCCGCCAAATATTCGTCCGTATCGGTACCCACATTACCAAAAGTCAGAGATTGAGCGATTGGTGCAAGAAATGCTCACAGCAGGAATTATTCGTCCTAGTAAGAGCCCTTTCTCTAGCCCTGTACTTCTGGTTAAAAAGAAAGATGGTAGTTGGCGATTTTGTGTTGATTATAGGGCTTTGAATAAGGTTACCATTCAGGACAAGTTTCCTATTCCAGCTATTGAGGAACTCTTGGATGAATTAGGGGGTGCCCAGATTTTTTCTAAACTGGATTTGAAATCTGGTTATCACCAGATTAGAATGAAAGAGGGCGAAGAACAGAAGACAGCCTTTCGTACTCATGATGGTCACTATGAATTCATGGTGTGAAATCCCAGATATAATGCTCGCTGATTACTCCCTAATTCTATCTCATTATCTTGGCATTTATGATTCATTATTCCTTGATTCTTTACCGTTGAATATAGCTGTTATAGGTTTTATTATATTTCCTTTTTTCCTACCCTGTAAATTATATATAAACCTGTGTACCCACAATCTGTGAATAGAAAATATACAGAAATTATACAATCAGGTCTCCCGACTCACATGGTATCAGAGCGGGAGGGGGAGATCTAACTATTCTGCCATATTCCGCAATGCCGAACAACGTAAATGAGTCGACTAAGTCGACTACGGAACCTGATGGTTCCACCTCCACGAACTCGAAGCCCGTCGCACCGAATCAGAACTTTGAAGGGAACGCAGTGCTGATCGTACCTGAGAGGCTCACCGGTGACAACTACAGAGAGTGGGCCCAGTCCATTCGCCTTGCTGTTGAAGGCAGAGGAAAGCTCGGGTATCTCAACGGCGATATTGCGTGTCCTCCCAACTCAAATTCACAGGCTGTACGGGTTTGGCAGATTGAAAACTCACTGGTGGCATCTTGGTTAATCAACTCAATGACCCCCAGTATTAAACGCAGCTTCATGTTTTTCCCAACTGCCAAGGAGATCTGGGAAGCTGTTCGAGAGGCCTACTCGGATGGAGAAAATACCTCCCAAGTGTTTGAAATCAAAACCAAATTGTGGCAGATGAAACAAGGTACTGGTAGTTTAAATGAATACTACCTAAACATGTCTGCTCTGTGGCAGGAATTAGATCTGCAGAATGAAGAAAACTGGAAGTGCTCAGAAGATGCAGCCCAGTACAGAAAGAAAATTGAAAAGGAACGTTTATTTGAGTTTCTGGCTGGTATCAATTCAGACTTGGATGCTGTGAGAGGACGAATCTTGAGTCGTGTGCCTCTACCTTCTGTCCGTGAGGCATTTGCAGAAGTTAGAAGGGAGGAGTCCCGTCGTAAGGTTATGCTACAACCTATCTTAGATAAACCAATTAATATTTCTGAATCCTCTGCTCTTGTCTCTCGTGGAAATGACCCTAGAGGTCAGAAAGCTAAGCTTGTGTGTGAGCATTGTAAGAAAACAGGGCACACTAAGGATACTTGCTGGGATATTCATGGGAAACCAGCAGACTGGAAGCCCAAAAGAAGAAAAGGCCGTGGATATATTGCTGAGAAAAATGAAGAGAAACCTTCCACATCTCATAGTATATCAACCGAACAATTCTCCAAATTGACGGAGTTACTCACCAATCTCCAACCCTCTGGGCAACCAGCACGAGGACAAC